AAGAAAATAGAGTTTAGTGTACGTTAAATATATTATAATTGGTTGAATGGTAAAACAAAACATTCTTCTATACCTTTCTAGAATCAAATCCTATTCTAACAAAGCAGATAATTTTATCTTTCCGTCTAGACTCAAAGTCGTTCTTGTTCATTCCCATGGAGCATTAATCATCCATGTTTATAATATTTGTGAAGTTTATCCTCAAACTTGTCTTTTCTTTTTGAGATTGAAAGATTCATTATGTCTACGAAATTTTCTTTTATTACAACGTTATTTATATATAAAAAAAAGATATAATTTTAAAAATAAGATAGTTTTTTTTTTATTTAGCTATAATAAAATCTTTTAAATAGTATAAAACAAGAAACATTCTTCTTCTTACCTTCTTATCTATTTATGAAATTTTCCCTTCTAACTAGCTAGGTTTTCTTCCTTTAGCTTGATTACTTGAAATAGTTTCCGGCAATGGCACAAAATATGCCTGATTGGTCTGAACTTCAACCTGAGTTGCTTGCTCTCATAGCTAGGCGTTTGAATCTGATTGAAGATTACTCCATTTTCCGTACTGTCTGCAAATCCTGGCACTCTGCAGCTACTAAGAACAATTTTAACAGTGACCTGCCTAGAGTTCCATGGCTGATGTTGGCTGAGGAGGATGGCAGTTCCTCCTGCCGAAAATTCTTCAGCCTCTATAATGGCATGATTCTGAAGAAGAGGATCCCGAAAGCTAGCAGAAAACTATGTATGGAGTCTCTGGGTTGGCTTATTACAGTCGGAGAAGATGAGGGTGAAGTTAGTCTATTACATCCCTTTTCCGGTGTTCAGATCGAATTGCCCCATCAAAATTCTACCGCAGATTACAGTGGACGCCGGACCGGCAACCAATGTACCTTTTTTAAGAAAGCAGTTCTGTCAGCTAGTCCTTCTCATACATCCGACTACATTCTCATGGTCATTGATGGAGGTTATATCAAGTTTTGGAAACGAGGAGATTTGAGATGGAACAAGATTATCTTGGATCTAGGCACTCGCTCACCACGTTTTGCACGTGGTCGTGATTTGGTATATTTTAATGGCTACTTTTATTCAGTAGATTGTTTGGGCCGCATCATAGTTTATGATGTTGCTGGCCCTCAATACCCTAGAAGTCTATTGGTTGCTCAGATACCATTCGGTCACAGAGGTTTTGTAGGGGAATTGTACATCCTAGAATCACTAGAATCATTATTTGTAGTTTCGCGCAAGGGAGTCCATCTAAGGTACTTCAGAGATGGAACAACAGATTTTCGTGTTTTCCAGGTTGATTTAGCTTCTGGCAAAGGGACAGAAACCAGGGAATTAGGGGACAGAGCATTTTTTGTGGGTTATAATGCTTCTATTTCAGTCCAAGCTTCTCAATTTCCAGGAATCAAGCCAAATCATATTTATTTTACAGATCATTATTTGGGATCATACCAAACCTTTGAAGAAGGAGGAGGCTTGGACATGGGGGTGTTCAACTTAGCAGATGGAAGTATCCAGCCGCATTACAACGGTGTTTCCCTGAGTCGTATTAGTCCTCCAACTTGGGTCACACCAACTCTATATTGAGTCAGACACCCTCCTTTATTTACTCTATTTATTATGCTGTATGTTTTGTTTGACCATGATTGTGACTATGTTTTAAACAATTACGACCTCCATATGAGTGATATAGCTTCTCAGAAAAAAGTAGGAAAAAAAAACATGGTCAAGTAGTTGAAAGTGAATTATTGATGTAACCATTGTTCATTTTAAAAATTCAAGTTGATTGAAGTGTCTTCTATTCTCGCTTTGATTTCGAATATTTAACCACTATACGCGTTTCTCAATCTTGATCTTCCACAAATTTGGAACCTGTAATGTTCAATGTGGTACTTTCCATCAACTTCCAAGCAGAAAGTGGACCAACACGAAGAGCTGATTCCTCCACCCTCTACAAAACAGAGAACAAATACAGTAAACTTATCTAGTTTTTATTCAAATAAACACCGAGGAAGAATCCTTACGTTGGACACATGTATCCACAGATCAAGTGTCCTCAGAGCTTGCCAGAAAACAGTGTGTCACGAGCTAATGACACTCCTTCGGTCAGATTTTTAACATGTCCACTGACCAGTAAAGCTGCTGTTGCATTTAGTGTCTGCTAATAGTTTAACATAGTGTGTGAGAAGTTGGGAAAGAAAGTCGTTAAGCATTGAAACGAGCTCAATAGTTGCTTCATAAGATGTGTATGCACCAATTAGAGTAACACGGTAAGGAGATTTAGGTATAGCAGGATAAGACTTACAAATGCATCAGCAATCAACCCTTTTTCTCCTGAGAGCACACATCTAAGCATCTCGGCGTTGTATTATGGACCTCCACCTCTCAGGCTTTCAAGAGTGCAGCGAGGGATGCCAAAGTCCACTAGAGAGAGACAATCTTGAAAAACTACTGAAAAATGTTAACTGGTTCTGATATTGACAAGTTACTTACATGGATCGAAAGAGAATTTCTCAATTTTATCTGGAGTAACGTGACATCAAGGACTAATCCAGGACCTGTAGAATTACCTCATTATTATGAACAGATTGTGACTTAACAGATTTACTTTCTTTTTAGTAAGTTACACTTAAAAGGATTTACTATAATTGCAACAGGGAACAATACCAAGAGGACTCATCTCATCTAGACCTTCCGAATGAACAACAACCAGTGCTCTTTTCATGAAAAACCTTTCGACTGCTTTAGCCATTTTTGTCGACCTAAAGAAAGGACGTGTTGATTACAAAATAGATCTACATAACACTTGGCACAACCACTGGAACAAGTCGAACAACTATGAACTAGAAGTCAAAACAGAGAAGATGAGAAGAATTAGCACCTCAATATTCAGAATGATGTGTACAAGATTCTTATAACCACATACTCGGAGCTTTATCGTGACAGTGTAATTGGAAGTTGAAAATTTACCAGGTTTCCTTTGTAAACTCCAACTACAGCAAAAGGCACTCTTGCTGGATTTAACATGGGTCCAAGGATGTTGAATACAGTCTTTACTTCCAGCTTTTTCCTAATAGGTCTAACAATCTTCATTGCCGGATGGTAGATTGGAGCCATCATGAAATCTATTCCAGCCTGAGCTACACACTCTTTTACCTCCTGAACCCAGTAACATTGACAAATAACCAGCATCATCAAATTAGAAAATCAAAGATAATGAGTAATTCTACTGATCCATAGGCTATAGGACAGTTTTTAGTTAATTCTTGACTAGTAAGAAAGCACGATGATCTTAGGCTGCCTATAATTTCTTTTAAAGGTTATATTTTTATCAATTTGAGAATTTCGTATACAAGCAGTTGTTCACAACAAATTTTCGTAGGCGCTGATTGAAGAAGCACAAAGCTCTATCGATCAGTATGGAGATGTGGGAACTACTACTGATTCTTTCTGGTGTTTTTCTTTTCTATCATCCTCATGCTTTCTCTTTCTTGTCTTTTTTCCAATTGATTCAATATTAGTATATGTTGTATAATTTGGGTTCTACCGAAATTTTACTTCGAAAATATGTCTATAAAATATCTAATTTAGTGAAGAGAGGCGACAACCGACAACTAATTGGATTGTATGAAAGATGTACCAATGTTATTAGTCGGTTACCACTCCGAAAGAAATTAAAACTTCAAAAATCTACACAATTTGGCATGTCAATCTCACCACTTAATTAAGTTAATAAGAACATATCACGTTAAGTTTTACATTTTGCATAAGTTAATGCATTGGAACTAGTGAACAATGTATACGTATTGCTTATAGAATAAAAAGGCCTAAATTGAGACAAAGGTGGAAATTGCAATAAGAATAAGCAGGTTTATATTTAGTTGCAAAATCTTAAATTATACAGTAACTTGAAGAATCAAGTTTTCTCTATATGTGTACATACATAACAATTACTAACATACAATCAATTTCTTCATTCTTCATACAAAACTTGAGATGATGCAACATTGATATAAGTTGCACTTATATGTTCTTCTGGTAAACACATTTGAACTACGTCTCTGTCTTCTTTGGATCAATCAAACACTAGAAAGCGACTTTTTCCCTACAGTCCAAGTGTGGCGGAGAGCTTCCAGATGGCAATACATTCAACAAGTCCTACATATTATCAGAGCAGGATTCATGTTAACAAACTAAATCAGTTTTCAAATATTTAACATTTGTTAGTGCATACCATACCTGTTAGTGCATCCATTAACGACCAAGTTCTTCTGTGCGAAGCTGAGTGGACTGCACAAAATGTTCAATTTTGTTAAACATGTGTGATGCAGAACTTGGAGTAATATTTTGACTCTCGAGAAGCAAAAAATTCAACATAGATTAAGAGGAAGGGAAATGTGTATGATCAATCACCTGAATCACAATGGAAGTAGAATTCCATGATCCACACATACACAAACTGCTAAAATCATTAACATCATAGCCACAAGATCCTCCTGTTGCCTCACAAGCTTTACAAAATGAGTCATCTCCTTCAACTGAATACTTCACTCTTATCCCATAAGACCATCCATGAGGTCCATCCACTCTCAATGGAGCTAAACTATAAGCACTACTATACCCTTGACAACTAAGTTTAGTCAAATTAATAGCCTTAATAGCTTCAAACGAAACTGCACAACAATCAGGTGGACCTGATCCATACACTACCCCCACTTTTTTTGGCCCAATAATATCCCAGCCCGTAAATTCCTGGTGCCACCATTGGGAATAGAAACATGATGGACCGGGGTGATAGATGTCAAGTTTTGTTAAAGAATATTGTTGTAACATTTTCTTCTCTCTGTAATCTGTCATGATAGTTGTTCCAAGTATTGTAATATCAGAATAAGTCTTCATTGTATAAGGTTGCAAGTCATTTCTTTAACCTTCACAAAACATGTAATTGTTTTGAATGAGCTCCCTGTCTCTCATTTATGACATGATGTTTATGCTTATTAACGCCATATGCTTGCTTTTCTTCATGCAGTAAAACATACTGCGGATATTGCACGAGGGTGAAGCAACTTCTTTCCCAGCTTGGTGCTACTTTTAAAGTTATTGAACTTGACCAGGAAAGTGAGTGACTCCCCATTTCAATTGCTTCCAAGTGCTTTATATAACCCTTATTCCACCTCCTTGCTGCAAAAAATGTGTTTTCTTACCCTAGATGTAGTTTTATTGTCATGAAGCAAAAAAATATCCTCTTTTGCTTTGGTCATCTATTTTTTGTATAGAAAGATTGACATTCAGCAACGAAAAAAAACCTTGAAAATTTCTATTAGGTGATTAGTTTCAATAGTCCAAGGAAGACTAATACATTTTATAGAATGTGCATGCTGATTCCTTATAGTAGGTATTTTTGGGATTATGAAGCAAGGTTCGAATTTCAACAGAGGCAAAAAAGTACTCCCACCATTTCAACTAATGTGTCTTACCTTCTTATTTATTGATCTATTTCAAAAAGATGTCTCTTTCCTTTATTTAGTAAATTTTCAATTTCAACATTCTCATTTACACCCCTAATTACAGTCCCTTATAAGGATGACAGAGAACAATAGATGTCTAACACCACAAAATTCAAAAGATAATTTTGGTGTGCGCTGTAAACAGTTTTAGTAGAAATAACAAAATTCAGAACTCTTCTTGACATTGTTAATAGTTTGTGCACAATGCCATTTGCCTGAACCTACCTAAATCATGGTGGACAAACCTAAGACCTAGGTTGGTGAGGGGCATCAGATCTTGATTGAGTAGGAATTATGCATCTGAATAGTTGTGGTGAGGTGTGAGCAAGCTGACCAGACCTCACAATTATACAAAAAAATGAATTTGGTTCTGGAAGTACATAGAAGCACTAGAACTAGTTTGATCGAGAGATCTGTGTTGCTATAACATGTTTGGTTGCTCATGTCTTCTAATAGATATATCTCGAACTTTGTGGCTTTGTTTTATCTTTGCTCAAAGAGTTCCTGACCCCCTACAGTTGCTCAAAAAGGCTGTGCTTAATTAGTTCCTCCCATCCTTGTTTCTTGGAGCATATATTATAGCTATGAGAGTTCTCTTTGTGATCTGAAGGTGACGGAGATGAGGTACAACAAGCATTACTAGAATGGACTAGGCAGAGGACTGTGCCTAACGTGTTTATTGGGGGAGAACATGTTGGTGGCTGCGACAGTAAGAATCATCAACTTATCCTCTTTATCTTTCATATATTTTCCTTAAAACTTGCCTGCAGCAGCTGTGGCATTTGTTTCTTGTCGTGTAGGCGTATTAGAGAAGCATCAACAGGGAAAGCTACTTCCCATGCTGAAGGATGCCGCTGCTATTCCCAACAATCCTGCCAAAGTCTAGAAAACAGTAGTTGTTAAGCTGACAATAAAAATGAAGTTGAGAGTGCTGTAACTTAACTGCCTCCTCTCCTCTAGTTTGGGTTGTTTAATAAGACGTTGGATTTCAAGTTCCTTTTTCTGTTCTTCCCTTGCCTCAGTCTCCTAAACATTTCCTTTTAGTACCTATTTTCCATTTTTAACTTGCCATCTGTTCCGTTGGGAAATATATATTGTAGATTCGCGTGTTTCCGGCAAGAGTAAATTTGTCACTTGTGTCTATTTCTTCCTTTACTAATTCACAATGGAGAAGATGATCTGAACTTGCATTTAAACATGAAAGAACTTGTAATTTGTGATAAGAAATGAGTAAAAATTACTAGTATAGTTAATCTAACAATAATGATTTTGTCAAAGATAAGAGAGGTTAGTGTATGTTGAATATTATATCTTCTATGCCTTTTTAGAATCGAATCATATTCCAACAAAGCACATGATTTTATCTTTGGGCTTAGACTCAAGTTACTCTTCTTTCACCTGGAGCATTAATTCTCCATGTTTTTAGTATTGGTATTATTTGTCTACAATAAATTGATATATTCTAGAAAACAAAGACAATTTTTTTAATTTACTCATAATAATTTTTTTGACTGTACAAAACAAGGAACAATCTTTTTCTCATCTTCTCTAATAGAGTGGTGTATCTATTAAAAAATTAAAATTAAGCCCAAAGATAAGGTATCATTTTGGACCATTACATTTCAGATAGATCTCCGATTCGAGAATCAAGGGTTTTCTTCCATAGCTTGAGATAGATTTAGGCAATGGCACGAAGGATGCCTGATTGGTCGGAACTTCAAGATGATTTGCTTGCTTTCATAGCTAGGCGTTTGAATCTGATTGAAGATTACTCAAGTTTCCGAACTGTCTGCAAATCCTGGCACTCTGCAGCTACTAAGAACAATTTTAGCAGTGACCTACCTAGAGTTCCATGGCTGATGTTAGCTGAAGAGGAAGACAACACAGATGGAAGTTCCTGTCGAAAGTTCTTCAGCCTCTATAATGGCATGATTTTGAAGAAGAAGATCCCAAAAGCTAGCAGACAAAAATGTATGGAGTCTATGGGTTGGCTTATCACAATCGGAGAAGATGAGGGTGAAGTTAGTCTATTACATCCTTTCTCCGGTGTTCGGATCGAATTGCCCCATCAAAATACCACCGAAGATTATAGAAGACGCCAGACGGGCAACCTATGTACTTTTTTTAATAGAGCAGTTTTGTCAGCTAGTCCTTCACATACATCCGATTACATCCTCATGGTCATTGATGGAGGCAAAGGTTATATCAGTTTTTTGGAAACCAGGAGATTTGAGATGGAACAGGATTATCTTGGACCAAAGCATTCACCCTGCTGCAAGTGGTCTTGATGTGGTATATTTTAATGGCTACTTTTATGGCGTAGATCGATTGGGCCGCATCATAGTTTGTGATGTTTCTGGCTCTCAATCCAGTAGAAGTCATATGGTAGCTAAGATACCATTTGATCTTCTTGAAGTTGCAGAACAATTGTACATCCTAGAATCACTAGGATCATTATTTGTAGTTTTGCGCAATGGAGTCCATCTAAGGTACTTCCGAGATGATTGCGACAGGATTCCACTTACCTTCATACGTTTTGAAGATGAAGATGGAGAGGAAGACCTAACATATGGAACAACAGATTTTCGTGTTTTCCAGGTTGATTTAGCTTCTGGCAAAGTGACAGAAACCAGGGAATTAGGGGACAGAGCTTTTTTTGTGGGTTATAATGCTTCTCTTTCAGTCCAAGCTTCTAAATTTCCAGGAATCAAGCCCAATCATATTTATTTTACAGATCATTATTTTGGATCATACCTAGCCTATGAAGAAGGAGGAGGGTTTGACATGGGGGTGTTCAACTTAGCAGAAGGAAGTATCCAGCCGCATTACAAGGGTGTTTCCCTGAGTCGTATTAGTCCTCCAACTTGGGTCACACCAACTCTATATTGAGTTAGACACCTTCCTTTATTTACTCTATTTATTATGCTGCTGTATGTTCTTGTTTTACCATGATAGTGAGTAGTGACTATTTTTAAACAATTACAGCCTCCAGATGAGTGATATATCATGTATGTTCTCAGATAATTTGATTACAGATACTCCCATTAGTTGTTATACTTCCTTGCTTCCAATTATGTTGTGTTGGAATGCGAGCACTAAGCAAATAAATTAATTATAATTAATAGTCACTGCCTTATCGCCAAAGAAAACAATTAACAAGAATTTAAGCAAAGAAACTGTGAAAATAAGGTATTATAGCCTATTACAATGTGCAAATAGGGAAAAATCATGATTTCAAAGGGGTTTAAATATCATGATTTTGCTGCAACAGCTGCTTCTTTCTCTAATCTGTCACGATAGTTCCAAATATTGTAATATCAGAATAGTCTTCATTGTATAAGGTTGCAAACTGTTTCTTTTAAACCTTCATTGACCATGTTAATTTACTTTTTATCTACCGCGCAAAGCGGTTAGATTCACTAGTTTTGATTTGTATAATGAGGTCGAAAGTGCCCAAAACATGTGTTTTACAAATATGAATTGAAATGTACAATGTTAAACGGTTAGAAGATTTAACGCTCTCAAATATTTTTGGCGTTGCAATTACCAATGCAATAGATCAGCTTTTAAGTTTCCAATTTTTCATTCTAACTTCTTGAGTTTGGTATATAACTTTGTCTAATATTTTAGAACTTCAAATTAATTTTGTCTAATATTTTATAACTACAAATTAAATTAATCAAATTTTCATATTAGTAATTAATATTTTTCATAACAAGATCTAAGGTAGCAAGTATATCACAAACACATAATTAGCATCTTATTAACTTGTAATAACTCTTTTGGATATAAATAAGTATTACTACTAGTAAATGTTCATCATGAAATTACATATTTTACATTTTATAATAATAATAATATCATGGCTATAAAGTATAATTAAGAAAATAAGAAACTCAAAACTAACTTTTTTTCATACTTGAATTTTTGTTTTATAACTTCATAGATAAAATATAATTTAAAAAATAAAAATACAATGATATGAGAATTTACTGTATCATTAGATCCATTGACAATCAAAATACATTGTTACATGCTCCGCATTGGTAACTTTTGAATTATCATTTTATATCTTTCCAAATAAGTACAATTAAGAAAATGAGAAAGAGTATGATAGTTAAGAAATTCAAAAACAAAATGAGACTAACTTACTGGTGTACCATAACATATGTCAGATACATCTAAAAATGTTATTGCATATTTTACCTTGGTTATGGTGTGCTACAAGGATAACACTTGGGGTGGGATTAGGCAGAGCATATTAAATTGGGGCAAGTGAATTGGCATAACATATCCAGATTCTATTATTATTAATAGGGATAACACTTATGCTACTTTGAGTATATATGGGTTGTGCCCTGGTGGATGAAGACCCAGATTCTGTTACTATTTTTTCATTGGACAACATTCCACATGAGCCAAAGTAGGATATTGTCCATTGTCATTGTGAACATTTTGGGTATTAAAATACATGGATTTTCTTTATACAAGCAACACTATCAAAATAAGCAAAAAAATAATAATACTGTATATACAAGTTAAAATAATTTAAAAAATATATATATTAAAATTTTAAATATGATTTGCAAAATTCTTATATTTTGCATTGATCATATAATCACGAAGAGACTAGGATATTCCGATTACATGTAGTGCATAATAAATAGAGAGAAAACTATGATATTTTTGCTAGGTACACAGTTGTAGATGAAATCCTTCCAAACATT